GTCACCATTATTTGGACAATTCAATCTCCTTACAGGAACATGAGTTGCATAATGTATACTGTCAGATGCTTAATTTGATTTCCCTGTAGCTCACCTGGCAATATTAATTTACTGACAAACAAACTCTCATCTCTGTTTACTAACTTTGTGATAAACATGGTAAGATCAGCTTTTTAAGATGTAAACAAAGACAGACACTTAACAAAAGATAGAGTGAGCATTGTTATTGATATGGTTTTAGCATAAATACTTTTTTTTATTAATGATCACACTAAAATCCTAATGATTTGAATTCTGATATGATGTCATCGAAAGGAGAAATATACGTAAGTCAAGCTTCATAGCCTTGTGATGTCAGCAGAGATGATGTTTACAAAATGTATTCATGAAATTTTAGAGCATGGCAAAAATAACGACAAAATGTCCATAAGTGGGTTTTTTAATATGGCTGAAGTGGCAGCCATATTGTAAATCAGATCTGGAACCCTTGAACTAACCAGGCTGTAATCATGACAGCAACAAATGTGATGTAGTAACTTCAATAAACAGTTGTCTCTAAAACATATATTCATAGATGATGATGATGATGATAGACACAGGACAGGCAGACAATAACACCTTTAGTCAGGTGAGCTAAAAATTGGACTGAAACTTTACCCGAGGAAGCAACCCAGCTGGTTGCTGCAAAACATCTTCAGTGGGTCTTCCTGGCATTCCTACTCCCACTTAACGATTGATATCTACTTGTTTCAGGCCTCACTGAATCTTTTCGAATTAAATCAGGTGAACATAAGTATGCTGGATGCAATTCAAGAAATGTGAACCATGCTAGGAGGTTAATGTGATGGAAGGAATGCAGATTACTTCAACTGGAAATGTTTCAGATAAAACTACAAGTGTAGTTAGTGTAGGAATGTAGGGATAAGACTTTTCAAAGTGTTTCTGTTCCGGGTAAATTTGTTTTGAAAGAAAAACTGCGAAACGATTGTGAAAACTGCAACACCTTAAACAAATCATGTATATTTTGTCAGTGTGTATTTATAGTGAAAAGGGTAGGTCTAAAGAATGCACAGTGATGTACCAAATGAAAAATATCTCTGGTCATATTCAGAATATGTCACCATGTTGAAAAAACTAATATTAAAAAATAACATGTTTGCATTAATAACTGAATTGCTGTACTTTGTAGGGGCGGTGGGGTAGCCTAATGGTTAAAGCGTTGGCTCGTAACAACAAAGACCTGGGTTCGATTCCCTACATGGGTACAATGTGGTGATGTATTTGACATAGGGATCATAATTATGTTTGTCAGTTTGTTGTTTTACGCCGCACGCAGCAATATTACAGCTATATGGCGGTGGTTTGCAAATAATCAAGTCTGGACCAGACAATCCAGTGATCAAGAGCATGAGCATCGATCACCACAATTGGGATATGATGACATGTGTCAACCAAGTCAGCGAGCCTGACCACCCGATCCCGTTAATCGCCTCTTACGACAAGCATGGCTTACTGAAGATCAATTCTAACCGGATCTTCACAGGTCTCATAGTTATGTTGGCTTCAGGCTCCTGTTTTCCATTTTATCACATTTTGATATGTTTGCAATGAAATATAGATGTATACTTTCTATTGCAAGGCATTTTATGTCTCAGCGTGACCACAGAACCCTTTTGTAATTAACAAATGACTTCCGAAAGGTTTATTCAAACCTATTGAATAGAGTAATTCAATACTAGTCGACACTCCCCAGTGGGGTGTAAGTAGCATACATGCAAAGTTATTCCTAACAATCTATACACCAGTGTCATTTGTAATTCATTGCAAGCACTCAGTTCAAGTTGAAATTTATTGCAGTATGGTGTGAGACAGTGTAGCAATATGCAGAACATTGCACAGCCATTAGGTTTTATAGTAGAGCAAACCATTACCCAACTCCTAGAAAAGCCAATCAGTGCAGTGTATGTAACCCATGCTCCAGGGGACTACATCTGTTATTTGATATCGCCAACATTCGACAAAATTGCAAAAAGATTGTAAGCTGATAATAAATATTTTATTAGATTTTCATCCATATCTGACTCACTATCGAACATTATGCCGTATATTATGTACTTATCTCCATATTCTGGTAGACAAGGGGGTCCCACTGGGTTCATGCTTTTTTCTTGATGAAATATATATACTGCTCAATTTTAGATAGGGATGGTTTGTGTTATCTTATTTCAAGGTCCAGTGTGACTTTGCTGTGAAGCATTGTTTGTAAACAATAGATGACCATCACGCTTACTTGGCTCTGTTCATCTTATTCCTTGAGAGAAGTTTCTGCTCTAGTGCCCACAATGGGTCAGGCATACCAGACTATTTTCTTGTTTGTAAGCAAACACACTTATCATGAAATAGGAACAGATTAACCTCTTGCCAACCTTTCAGTGTGGACCCGTGAAGATCCAGGTTAGAATAGGTCTTCAACCCATGCTTGTCGTAAGAGGCGACTAATGGGATCGGGTGGTCAGGCTTGCTGACTTGGTTGACACATGTCATCATATCCCAGATCGATGCTCATGATGTTGATCACAGGATTGTCTGGTTCAGACTCGATTATTTACATACTGCTGCCATATAGCTGGAATATTGCTGGTAGGGGCAACGACAACCAAAACAAAACAGACACCTTTCAGTGTGTTTTACATATATATTTAAATCATCATACAGATAGTCTACAAGTTTGATAGGGGAGATGCATGACAATATATCTTTACACATCAGTGGCTGTATCAGTATCTGTTTGGCTTCAGTGACAGCACTTTGAGACATACCAGCAATGTAAATAAAGGATAAATATACAAAAATGTTCATGTTTACTGGTATCTTGTCAGCTAAAGTCAAATAGATGACAATCATTGACAACATCTTGAATGAAATGTGTAAGATGTGGCAGAAGTACTTGGCTTGCCACAGGTAACTGTCACTTGTTGAGTGTTCTGCAACACGAGACTCTTAAATGACCAAGACTCTTATATTGCAATCTAGGCTTTGATAAATGCAGCCTTCTATTCCAATCAAGCTGTCAATTTCTATCTAATCATTTATCTGTAAGCACAGCAGTGTAGTGGTTAGCATGCTGGCCTCTCACGCCAAAGGCCCGGGTTCAAATCCCGGTGGAGACACCAAAATTTGTGACCTGGGTCTCATGCTGTGTTGTGTCCCTGGGCAAGGCACTTCGTCCACATTGCACTCAGTCCACCCAGCTGTTCAAATGGGTACCTGACAAGCGGATGTACGGACCTATACGGTCGCGCGAAGCTCTTAGTAGCAGCTTTGAAAGTACAATTCCGTCAGGGTAATAATGTTATGCCGGAGAGCAGCATGGTGCTGGATTCTAGGCGCAAAAATTAGCATTAAAAATGAGCATTATCTGTAAGTAAAACTGTAAACACTTGAGCTTTGTCTTCAGTTTTCATCAAATGAGACCAAAGCCTGATATTCTCCACACCACATGTGTTGTTGGCTTCGCTGTGTGGAGCTTATTGTATTGGTTGTAAAATTGAATTTTGCAGGATCTAAGGGTGTAATAACACACTGTGAAATTAAGTCATGGATGATTTGAAACACCCAGAACCATCAAAAGTACTTGTCCATGAAATATTCACCTGACATACCATGGTATTCAGCTTGTGAAGCAAGGATAAACAGGATCCATATCAGAGAAGTGTATTCTAATCGTAATCCTTTTAAACTCATCCATCAACAGTTTATGTAGACAGACACACTTTGTTTGTTTAAAAAATACTTTTGAAAGTGAAATGCCTCGAGCCATTGAACGTTTTGAAAGTAAAATGATACTCATTTTGTGAAAAATATGGATGAAAATCAATTATTTTTTTGTGTCTGAATATGTCGACTGTTTCAATCAATTTATAAAATGAAATGTAAAATATCAGGTTCTGTAAAGACTGCTTTGGGCAAGGTACTATTTTTGCTTCTGAAATGCAAATGGTATGGAGCACCCATCTGGGTTTTTGCAGGTGGTGGGGGACCAGGATTTTGGTTTGAGAACAGTGTTTTTATAAAAGTTAGAAGTTCAGTTAATTTTCCAACATAACCAGGTGCTCGATTTTCCCCACATAATTTAATAAAGTGAGCTGTACTCTTTAGATACTAGTCTACAAGAAAAAGCCACATTATTGCTTGGGATGATGATGATGATGATGATGATGATGATGATGTTTTGTTTTCAGTAATCAGTAAATTGCAAAATATCAGTTTGGTTGAAGGGATCTTTAAGAAAGTTGCTGACTAAGTGTCATTGTGGATTTGTGCATATCTTCTTGCTAGTCCATTGAATCCACACACACAGTGCTCTCAGCAATAAGAGTGCATATGGCTTTGAAGCCTGAATCTGGAAGCACACATGCATACACAGGTGTTGTCTGTAGTCTGTAGATGATACTCTGTGACGTCTGTCCTTTGCGGTAGCGAGACGTTGTCGTCTGTCTTCGTCAAAGGCAGCTGTTGCTTTATAGCGACCTCCATGCAGATCTGTCCGTAGTAGAGGCTCGTGTGACTGGATACCTTCCATTTGGGGTTGTTCTTCAGAGATTCCTTAAGTCTCAGTTTGGCTTTCATCACCTGCATGGGCCTTCCTTGAACTCACGGCACAAAAATTGTCTGTTGTCATCCATTCTGTTGATATGGCCAGTCAAGCAAAGCTGACCCTTCAGCAGACTCTGTCCAGCACCTTTCAGTTTATAACTATGTCCTGCCAGGAAATTATCATGATCATGCCCAGCAGCCTTGTGTGGAACTGCTCCAGCTGCAAGATGTGCCTTCGATATAAGGTCTATGGTAGAGCAGTGAAGAAAGGAGAGCTTGAGTTTTGCACACAGTCTAAAGCCTTTCTGTTGGAGAACATGCACCTTTAGTCTTCCAAGTTCTTGACTGGCTCTCTTAATCTTGGATGTGATCCATCCATCCAGTATTCCATCTACAGAGATTACGCTGCCCTGGTACTCCATTGATGGCAATGGTTGGCTGCAACTGTTGAGTCTGCTTGGACCAGGAACTCCAGGTTTCCTCGTGTGATTGTCAGTCCAAACAGTGAGGATGCTGCTGCAAAATGGTCAACAATGATTCGTTCCCCTGTTGTGCCAATAGGGCAGTTCTCTGGAAATAGAACTTCACATATGAGCTTCTCTACAGTCTTGCAGGGATTTATGGGACGCAAATTTCTGTGTCCTATACGCATAAATATTGACAATGGAGGCAAAACAAAATATTAGCGTGTCCACAGAGACGCAGAAAAAGCCCAAATACTTTTTTGTAAAAATTCCAATCAAGTAACAAGAAGTTATCACTGAGTTTACAACAGGCTGGGTTATGGTATCATTTGCAATTTAATTACTGTAACAATGTGATGATTATGATACACAATACAATAACAGTAATAATAATAATAATATTTAAGTGTCTTGGACCCCCATTTTGTTGTCCTAGATCCCTGAAAATTAAGATTATGAGTCTAAGGGACCCTCATATACAGGACTCAAGGTATATCCATGGTCTTGGTTCTAGCAGAGGTGCACACAATAGGAGATAAAATAATGAAATAATAGTAGTTATTTATGGGATGATTTAGAAAGCTTGTTTAATCTTTGTAAAACAGCAAGTCAACATGCGTCTGTTGTTTGAAGGTTTAAGTTCTATCAAAAACTATGGGGATTCCAGGCTGTAGTAGGTCCCAGCAAGCACTGCTTCAATGTCATGGATTGGCTGTATTTAAGAACTGTGATTCTGCTGAGACTGATGACAAACTTCATGTATTGTTTGATTGTACTTTCCCATTTTTATAATGATAATCAGCAATCAATGGTCAAAAGACTAAATTCAAGGAATGTAAACAATATTCACTCCAGCTTTGTGTCATAAACATGTTCTTTTTATTTAAAACCTAGCTTAAATAATTCTTGCAACAATCTGCAATCAATTATTTTGTCACTCAATTTGGACTGTGGGCCATTTGGCCTTACTGCTGACTATAATATCTGTGTGAATGGCTTGTCAGACTTGGTGACTTGGTTGGCCGTCATTGTGACCCAATCGTTTGGATAGTTGCTCATGATATCAATCATTAGAATGGCTGGCACAGTTTAAAGCAGGTCAACCGCTTCAAAGGTTTCATATTCCTGAGACCGGCATTTAACAACAAATATACAAGCAGATTATTGGCAAGAGTTTCACATTTGCAAAAAGCAGACGTGTCAATCATAGACTGGGAGTAAGGGAGGTAACTCTCAGTACTGCCTGAAGTGGGAGTCATGTGTGTCTTTAAGCAGACTGTACTTTAGATCAAAGCAAATTAATAATATAATTTTCAAATTATTTTTCATTGTCAATCAATATTATTAACAGTGAAGCATACATGATATTGTTCATATTGTAACTTATCAATATATTGCCAAAGGGATATGGACAGTTGCATGTAATGATAGTATAATCGGTCATTACCCTCACTAGCAGCTTTGTATGATGGGGTACCCTTATGTCCTGAAGACTTTGAGCCGTGATCTAACCAATATTCAATAAATGGACAGTTCCTGGAGACAAATACCAGTACACATTGATTAGGACCTTGATGAAAACCTAGAAAAACAAAACATTTGTTTCATCTTGCATAGGATCAGTGTAGCAATTCTAAAGATCAAAGATTCAAGTCCAATAAGGTCGTTTGCACTGTAGAATGAGGTATTGCCAGTATGGATTGGATGCAGAGATCAGATCAGATTCCATATGTTGTGTTTCAAAGAGCATCGAAAGACTGGTTCTCGAAAGTTCTTTGATCAAGGGAGGAGCGGCGGGCTAGCCGAGTGGTTAAAGTGTTGGTTTGTCATGTTGAAGTCCTGGGTTCGATTTCCCACATGGGTACAATGTGATGCCCATTTCTGGTGTCCCCCCGCAGCGATTTTGCTGAAATATTGCTAAAATGGGTGTAAACCCCAACTCACTCACTCACTCAGTGACCACACATGATGTCTGATACACATCCATAATTTGTACTTGTGGATTTTGGCAAAATGTTTGACTGGCCTTTGCATGTGTTTATGATGGGTACCACAGGCAGATGAGGATACATTCTTTTAGCGAACAACTTGTGTCATCACTATTTCATACATGACATGCTTATGATAAAATCAGAAATGGGGTACTACATGGGGATTTATTTAATTCATTCAGTGTGTCTTCAACTCTATCATACTCTTGAAACAAGGTGTGAGAAACTTGTCCTCCAAGTCCAGGAGTCTCATTCTGCCATGATGACATGTTGACATTGATGAGGAAGCGACTTTGGGCAGGTGAAGTACAAAATATATAAACACAATGTCAGATGTCTTGACAGTTTCATATTGTCTCTTTCACAAGAATAGATGTAGTCAAAAAGTAGACCATGATGTTATATATTTGTTGTTTCATGTGACAGACAGCAATATTCCAGTGTCACAGCGACCTGAAAATCAAGTCTCCCAAGTCATACATGTCCCAGATACTGCAAGCATGTTTAAGGCACTGCATATGTGTTTCAGTGACTGCATCCATTGTTAATTCACTGCATGTGTGTTCAAGTGACTGCATTCATGTTCAAGGCATTGATGTATATTTTAGTGGATGTTTGTTCATTAGACTGTGCACATTAATGATAAAGGCACTGCATGCACTTTCTAGTGACTCCATTCAAATTCCAGTGACTGCATGCATGCTCTAGACCCTGCAATGTCCTTCTGATTGCATGCATGTTTTTTGATCCTGCATTGTTCTTGGGACTGCATGCATTTTATAGGCACTGTGATGTTCTTGTAACTGCATGCATGTTCTTGACCCTGCACACATGTTTTTATGACTGCATGCATGTTCTCGACCCTGCAAACTCATTCTTATGACTGCATGCATGTTCTCGACCCTGCACACACATTCTTATGACTGCATGCATGTTCTCGACCCTGCACACACATTCTTATGACTGCATGCATGTTCTAGGCCCTGCACACTCATTCTTATGACTGCATGCATGTTCTCGACCCTGCACACACATTCTTATGACTGCATGCATGTTCTAGGCCCTGCAGTGTTCTTGTGACTTCATGCATGTTCTAAACCGACCATGTTCCAGGGACTGCTAGCCTCCTAGAGAGCCTCCTCAACTCTGGTCACCTCTGTTAGACACTTGAGACAAAAGGGTGTGCAGGGATCAGTGATGGTTGTAAGCTGTCTGGCTGAAGACAGTCCTGTCTGTAGTAAACCTTTACTGTCAATTACATATCGTCTCCAGATTTCATCACATGCGTTATTGCTGCTTTGAAACCAGTCTGGGGATTATTTCAAGTCATGACCGGAATATGATGAATCTGCTGAACTGAAGTTTCTTAAGAACGTCTCCGAATTATCTTGTCTTTTATCCTGTGGGTGATTGACAAGAGACAATCGGGAATGGTCATTGAAACCAGCCCAGAAGCCCAGGATGTCCCTGAGTAGAAACACACAGCTGTGTGAACATTTGTTTTATGAAGTTCCAGGGGTGGTTTCTGTTTGATTATGTTTTGAAAGAATTCAAAGGTTTGCCCCAAAGGTTGGAAAATTATCCCATCTTGTTTGTTGTCCAATGCCACATTCAACAATATTCTAGCTGTATGACGTCGGCCTGTAAATGATCAATCCTGAACCAGACAATCCAGTGATTGATACTCAGAGCAACAAACATGCAAGATGACACACATTAAACCAAGACACGAAGCCTGGTCACACAACTCATTTGACCTTATTTTCAAGGTCACCACGGCACTTTGACCACTTTTCAAACTCTTGTTAACGTGATATCTCATGCACTGTTGTACCCAGTGTCTTCAAATTTGGTGACAACCTACATTGGGGGATTACGCAGACACCAGTTTATCTTTTCTGACCTTGACCTTATTTTCAAGGTCACCACAACACTTTGACCACTTTTCAAACTCTTCTTAGCGTGATATCTCATGCACTGTTGTACCCAGTGTCTTCAAATTTGGTGACAGTTTACATTGGGGGATTATGCAGACACCAGTTGATTTTGGGTGACCTTGGCCTTATCTTCAAGGTCACCACGACACTTTTCACACTTTTAACTCTTGTTAACGCGATATCTCATGGACTGTTGTACCCAGTGTCTTCAAATTTGGTGACAGTTTACATTGGGGATTTCACAGACACCAGTGTATTTAGGTGACCTTGACCTTATTTTCAAGGTCACCACGACACTTTGAACACTTTTCAAACTCTTCTTAACATGGCATCTCATGGACTGTTGTACCCAATGTCTTCAAATTTGGTGACAGCATACATTGGGGGATTATGCAGACACCAGTTGATTTTGGGTGACCTTGGCCTTATCTTCAAGGTCACCACGACACTTTTCACACTTTTAACTCTTGTTAACGCGATATCTCATGGACTGTTGTACCCAATGTCTTCAAATTTGGTGACAGTTTACATTGGGGTATTACACAGACACCAGTTTATTTGGGTGACCTTGACCTTATCTTCAAGGTCACCACAATACTTTGACTGCTTTTTAAAGGCGATATCTCATAAAACATTGCACCCAATGTTTTCAAGTATGTTCACAGCCTACATCGGGTGATTACGCAGACACCAGTCATGTCAGGCATCTTGTATGTGACCCAAAAATAAAAAGTAAATATAGATATTCCATTCTTTAGCGGCGGGGGACATTGCCATATCAGTGGCAAACACTTGTCGCCTCTTGAAACCAGCACACATTGCTGGGCAACGATTCTAACTCCCATCAGGGTTTGGTGAAACATATTTTTCATCCTCTTCTGTTATTGTTGTGTACTTTATCAGTGATTGTCAAACAAGTAGTCACTTCCATGTAGGAGACCCATAATGACACATAATGTCCAGTGTGCAGGTACAAATGAATATATGGACCCTCAAAAGTTCACCAGGGAGATGGTTCTATGACAAATGAGCACAAATGCCATAAAATAATAAATAATTTAAAGTTTAAAATATAATTATAGCAGGGTGTGGAGTCATCCATGACATTATTACCTTGTCAGACACCTGATGGGGTTAACCTGTTTGGTCATGTGGACAAGGTGTCCAACCGTGGATCA